AGAGGGGGCCGGTGGGATATTTGCGTGGGTTCCCACCGGGCAATGGTGGTACGAGCGATGAGTTACGCCACAAAATGACAGCAGTTGTTTGTTTACCTTTACTTCACGACGAGATTAGTTGGTTTAGCGAGCTTCACTGATTCAAACCTCGGTTGATAGTGCTTTGTTTGGTAGAGGTATCAATTCTACGTATTTCAAAATTTTCGTGGACGGAATCCACTTTTGTTGGGTACTAGTAAACCGTGCGAGCAAGAAGAATGAGGAGTTGCCTAGGCGTGGGAAAGGAGCACCAGAGCAGTTGAGCCTAATGTTTTGCGGAAAAATAGTTTTTGATTCTCTTAGAAGGTACATCACCTAGACCGTAGTCCTTCTTCGTGCCAACCTTCACCTTGCCTAGACTATATTGCTCATTTCCAACGCTATGGCAACACAACAGCCGCCTCTAGACTTCTTTACAAACATTGCAAAAAAAGGAATGAAAGACTTTGCTCTTCCTTGAAAATAGGAGATCCCGTTGAACTACACTTGCTTGCAACAGGAAAAATAGAAAGGTTACTGGCGCTCACTGAGAGAACCCTCATGACCAACGGGACCATAGGTGATGCAGGGGATCGCTCTATTTTGCTGCTACGCGAGTTCTCTGTGACCACAAACCAATGGTCAACGAGCAGTTCAATGCGCTTCTAGCAGACTGTGAATTATTTTGGTGAAACCGAAGAGGTTGGTTACACAAATACACCCTCTTCCCAACTTACGAGCAGGGTGCGTCCCGTCCCAGGAATTTCTGCAAAATATGACCCTACTCCCTTCAAAATTTCCTCTTCCCATACTAATCCTCTTCCAGGCTAATCCATTCCCCCATCTCCACCTACCATCCACATTTACCCCCCCAGTTGCCGAAAATTGTTTCAGGTAACCCTATCTTCCCCACCCCCTCCCCGCCAACCTCATGAGCTCTTTGTCAACCGCGGAGATCTTCCTCCGCCTCTCCATCCACCGAGGGCATTGCCCGTAGAGCTGAAGGGGGGAATATTTTTGACTAGAGAACAGCTGAAAAATTCAAACAAACCGAAACATTTTTGTCTCTTCTAGGCCCTCTCCCACAATTGGTGCGAGAATAGTTGCAACAACGCTGCAACGAACTCAACACCCTGCACGCCCCAGGTCCGGACGGAATAAGCAGTACTTGCAGCTAACTATGAAGCGTTAGTTTGAGCCGCTTTTTTCTGGAGGGCATTTAAAATCGAGCCTGAATCAGCGGCTTGACAAACCAGCATGAGCCCCTTCCAAAGCCACCATTGTGCTTCTTGGAGTAGTCGAATACAAGTGGTGTGTCCCAAGGAAATTGGTTAGCGGTAATCACTTTGTCCCTCCCTTTTTCAACCCTGTGAAGCTCTCAGTTTCTATGGAAGCACTGACATCACTTAAATTCTCGGCATAAAAGTTCATGAAATTTCATTTCTATTCATGTTAATGCTATTTAGTGAACTATTTCATTCCTTAAATGGCATTTATCTCTGCAGAATTAGAAGAAGAGCTGACTGAGCCTCGAGCTCATTCGACGGCGTCCGATTAGAAATCTCATTTTCAATCGGATGTTGAAGGCCTCATGTTGGTCATGGCCAAGTGCCTTTTCGACTCCCTTTTCTCACTGCAGATTTCGTTACACACTGGGATCTACTCAGTGTAGCCTGTTCTTTGTGCTTTGTGCCACTCGTAATTGACTACTCTTCAGCCCTCGTTATCTACTAGTTTTTATTTCCAGACTTGTTAAGGTGCAAACCGATGCAAACGAACAAATGTGTCACGAATTGCAGGTTTTACTTTGTGGATTGTGTCAATTCGTAGCAACAATGATTGCAACTCGAAGGCGGAGCAGACTTCATTTGGCTGCGTTTATACTTTGCGGCCAGGCGTAGAATAGCGCTTCCAAGCGTACGCAGCGGCGTGCCCTCGCGGAGAGGATGCCATATCGCATCTAGCGTTTCCAGGCGTCACACAGCGTATTTCACCAGCGTTTGCTGGCATTGTGCCAACGGCAGGGGAGTAGGGAGACTTATGCGTGGCCTTCAGCAGACGCCACAAATCGAATGTGCATATGGCTAGAGCACTGCGAGGCGAGCATGAGCAGACGCGTAATCGATATGTATTCTGCTACCCTTCCAAAAGCTCTCCCCTCTAGTCTCTACTTCTCCTGCTGCAAACGCTAGCCAAAACGCCTGGCTCAAAACGCTGGAGAAACGCTAGCGTTACGCTGCGAAAACACAGCATCGATATGCATCCTCTCCCCGTACTGCCCGCTAGCGTACACAGAAGTTGCTAGCGCCTACGCTGCGCAAATATCAAACGCAGCCTTTCTGTCTCTTCGACGCATACGCTTTCGCTGATCTTCATGCAATGTAACCGTCCGAAACGTCTACCCAAATGTTGCTTAAGGAGCGCTGTGGCCGAGAGTATCGTTCGTATCGCTTGTGTAGTCCATAATATCAGGTCCCCCACTCCCTCTCCTTAACCCAAGTTAACTTTTCTTGCGTCATGTGTGATCATAGACATATAGATCACCAGCTCTTGTTACTCGCTACAACAACTGGAGCAGAAGGGGCTGGCGGCACTCAAAGGCAGCCTCACTGACACAAAACTTCTTCCGCGCGCGCAAGGCTGTTTCATAGGCAGGATCACATCCTTGTACAAAGTGGCCCAGTCTGCAATTGCAGAAGTTTTTTCACGGGCAGGAAAGGGAGTGGGGAGAATGCTTGGGCACTCGTTCGACGCAGCAGTTCCACCCAAAGGTATCATTACATGGTGTGCTTGACTGTAGTCAATACCACATCGACTTCATCAAAATGATTTCCCACGGTCTAGAAACGCATCGGTTCGTTGGGCATTGGTGTTATCCTTGGGAGATCGCTGCTATTTTTTTGCACATGCAAAACTCGTACAGCCACAGCAAAGCCGTCATCACCGTATCATCTGTCGTTCCGTTGACCATCGAATTCTGCGAATCAGAGCAGTCCAGCAGGCTTTTGCTTAGTAATGCAGGAACACAGACATGCTGGCCCGACTCATTCCTTTCGCTGCAAATGCTAACCATCGGTGCTGGCAGCCGTTGGGTGGGGTACAGCATCAGACAATATAAGCAAAATAACTCGGAAAGGTCGAGGACAGAGCGAAGAAGGGCTACGGTCTAGGTGATCTGCTTCTTACGATGAAAACTATCTTTTCACGAGAGCGGATTGGTTCACATACTCCTCTTGTGGAAAGTGCTTCTTCCATTACTCCATTACAAATATGAAGGGAATTTCAGGCGTATTTCTGAATATTTATGAATGTTCTCTCATAGAATTAAGTGGTCTCGTTTGTCGCCGTGATGAACGTCGTACTTCTACTAACAGACGTTTCCCTTCGCTCTCATCGATTAGCTCATTTCTTATATAATGTAATTGTAATAGTAATGGTTGTCGCTGATAAGCTGTTGTGGACGTGGGTTCATAGCATAGTGGATAGTACACCTACCTCAAAAGCACGAAGTTCGGGTTCAAATCCCATTTGGGCAATCATTTTGCCTGTAATTTAGCACTCTAGGACTCCCTTCATGCTCAGGCAGCTTTTCAAGTTTTCATCTTTTATATTTTTCTACCATTATTTTCTCATAAGTCATTTTGAATTCAACCATTGGCCGGAACATCGTCATTTTCTCTGATTTGAAAGGGTTCTTATTTTGATTACACTGTATTAATGTAGCAATGGTTATTCGGCACGTATGGTTGTTACCAGTGATAGCAGTGGCGTTGACGCTTGCAGGAATGTTGAGTGGGTAAGAGTGACGAATCATTTTTTCACTTCATTCTTTTTTCTTTCTTCTTTTTTTTTCTTGAGAACCTTCCAATTATTGTTCTGGGTTCAGGTACATCATTGGAGTGCTAACAAAGCATCTACCGCCCCTTGTTACCGTTTATAAGGTAGGTGCGTTCAGTCAGATTTGGGTCAGGAAATCTGTGTTGCGGCGGCACTGCGAAAGCCGCTGTGCCAGAGCGGCATGCAAAACGCATTCAAAGGGCACTTCTACCGGC